GTGGGAATGCGAAAGTTCGGATTAATCTCGATCATAGACCGTGTGAATGAGGGCAATAAAGGGCAAGTGCCATATTATATATATATATATTATATATGTACTATATATGTTCATGTTGCAGCATTTGTATAGAAGACATCGAAAACGATGACCACTATGTGTGGGAATGCGAAGGTCTGGATTGTCTCATCAGGGACTCGATCATAGACAATGTGAATGAGGGCAAATAAAGGGCAAGTGCCATATTATATATTATATATATACTGTATATCTTTATGTTGCAGCATTTGTATAGAAGACATCGAAAATGATGACCACTATGTTTGGGAATGTGAAGGTCTGGATTGTCTCATCAGGGACTCGATCATAAACCATGTGAATGAGGGCAATAAAGGGTCAGTACAAAAGTTTACATTTTTAATTAATATATAAAGCCTTTCCAAACTAGGAATTGCATTGATAATCGCTGACATAAAGTTTAAAGATCAAAATTCAATGGGGTGGACCAAAAACATACACATTTTTGTTTTGCTTTCAGAATACATGGATTTCGATAGAATGTTAACAGTTAATGCAGTTAAATACTTAAAGCTTCCATAAAAAGTTTAAACCACTTTGGCTTAGATTTTAGTCTCACTTTTACAATTGTTTCTGAAATAAATTTCTCTAGACAGACACTAGGGGTCTAATCTAAAATATACACCCGTCGGGATGATATTTAAACCAATATGTTACATATATGTTGGTCATGTCTCAAATAATAGTACCAGATCTCATACAGTCACTAACTTGGACAAAATGAGATGAGTTTAAAGAAGGCGATTTTTGCTAGAAAATCTAAAATCATAATTTAAAGTGAAACGCTTCTACACACAACTGTATTAAATACTTACAGCTTCCATATAAAGTTTGAACCACTTTGGCTTCTATTTTAGTGTTACCAAAGGCTATCAATGTGTGATATGTGAAACTTTTTTTTAATTTCGAAGTGGTTTTTGAAGGATTTTTTTGTACTAAAAATCATGAATTTATGTAAACTAACTTTTAGAGGTCACACGTTTCTTTTGATAAGCAATAATTCATACCTATTCATAGCATTCATCCTTGCTTGTTTTTGCAGAAAAAATAAGAAAAGTGGTACATAAATAGGAGAGAAATGAACTCATCAATGCATGAAAATATTTGTTTGTTTTCAAAAATCTCTAAAATAACAAATGACAAATAGTAAATGAATGATAAAAAACGTATTTTCAAACTTAACATGGGGACTTTAAAGGCGATATTATTATTACAAAATGTATGTAAAAAAGAATTATAATCAATCATACTTAGAATAATACAGTGAGTTGAGAGGTGACGGCATTTTGGTTGTAGTAAAGGTCCCATATAAACTTTGAGTTATATAATAGTCCAACCCAATGTTATCAAAATGTGTTTTTTCATTTATTTATTTGCACACACTTATACCACAGTGGCACATGGATCCTGAGGTCCCAGTGTGGCATATTGCATATCAAAAGTACATGTAAAACATACACCTTGTTTTTAAGATCATTATATATCTTTACTAAAAAAACGAATTTGTCCAAAAATCACATAAAAATGGTAAGAGTGGTAAAAACTGCATAATTTTGAAAGAAATTTTGGCCAGGGGGGGTATTAATAGAATCATCAAACAGACTATAATCAAACATTAGTACCCCGGACAGGTTGTATGATGCAGTCGTTTTTTAACTCTATATTTGCAATAGAACAACCATTCTTATTAAAATTTTCATATTTTATTCTGGAGACAATTTCCAACATGGAAAAAAATATTTTAACGAAATTCCCAATTTTATGATTTTGACGGGCTTTTTTCAAAAACACTACACTGTCAATAAAATACAGGTTTTTGCTTGAACTATTGAACTTTTAACGTCATTTCAAATATTGCCTGGCTATTGAATTTTCAGCCGCCTAAAGTCTTTCCGGATATATCTGTTGCCATATTAATAATTATGGCTGATTATTGTTGGTCACTTGAGTCATATTCAATATTATTACAGTACATTAGGCCAATGAAAACTTGTTGCTCTGGGTCTCATTTTGTGAAGCATTCCCTAGATTGAGCCTAGATAGAGGAGGTCAATCTTCTTGTCCACAGACATGAGTTCAACCCGATGGAACTGTTCAATACTGTCCAAAATGAAGTAAAACATTACGAATCTCCAATTTCAAGTATTCTTGGCATTAGATCCTTCAGAGATGTTAATATAGCTGTGTCAAATTTTATCATGAAATTGTCAGGGAGACCTGACATTTTAAAAGCATGGTACAATTTACGTGCCATGGGCTTGCATGCTGAGTGACGGTGGTGGAAAAACCCAGTGGAGAAAAAGGTGCGTTTTCAGAGGAAACGTGACCCAGAGTAACAAGTTTTTCATTGGCCTAATGCACTGTAATAATATTAGGCCTATTGAATATGACAAAAATGAATAACAATAATCAGCCATAATTAATATGGCATCAAATACATCTGGAAAGACTTTAGGCGAGCAAAAATTCAATAACTAGACAATCTTTGAAATGACGTTAAAAGTTTAATTGTTCAAGTAAAGCAAAACCTGTATTTTATTGACAGTGGATTGTTTTTGAAAAAAGCCTATTAAAATCATAAAATTAGGAATTTCGTTAAAATATTTTTTTCCACGTTGGAAATTGTCTCCAGAATAAAATATGAAAATTTGAATAAGAATGGTTGTTCTATTGCAAATATAGAGTAAAAACACGACTGCATCATACAACCTGTCCGGGGTACTATGAACTATTTTTGTAAAAAAATATATTTCTATAACACTTTCTTACGTCACCTTCAAGTGGTCATGATGTTTTTATCTTTCATTTTCATTCATTTTACCTATTAAGATTATCAATTTGTCTCTTACACTTTTTCCAATTAATTTTCTGCATTATATGTATTTTCTTTATTGGCGAAGATGTCTGTAATGCCTAAGGGCAATTGACATTTTTGTTAATTAATGCAATAAATACTAAACAAACAATAACAATGTACCCCGCAATCTATATATCTTTGGTAATTTATTTCTTAAATGTAACTTGTAGGTGGAAAGCTGGTAGCTATTCCTTTCTGCAGGATAAACGCTTGACATTCGGAATGAAGTACAAATTGGGGACACTATTGCCACCAAGTGATGCAATACCCATAAGGCAAAGTCGGGTGAGCGCAGACAAAACCTTCCCAAGGGAATATGACTTGCGCAAGGCATCAAAGGGACACGTGTCTAAAATCTGAGACCAGGGGGATTGTGCCTCATCCTGGGCAATTAGTACAACTGGTGAGTCAAAGAAAATACTGAAATAGTTTTATTAAAGGAGGACGGAAAGTACCGCAATAGATTTCATATGTTGGATTTGGGCTATTTTCTGAGGATTTAAACAGGTGCATATAGTGATCAATGGAAAAGCACTCATAGAGATGATAAAACAATTTTGACTTTGAGACAGGGAAGATGCAAACAACTCACCCACAAGTTTTTCTGAAATGCTGTCCTGCTTTTTGACCTAATCCTCCACTGCTTTTTTGATTTTTGTTGCATCAATATGTTTCGCTTTGAGACACAATTTAAAGGAACAAGTAGTTCCTTCAGGGGTTTTAAATATATCCATTATGGGTGACCAAAATTAAGCTGAAAGCAATGGATTGCATGAGTTGGGAAAATAACATGGAATATATTGTTTTCCAAGGAATTACTTATTCCTTTAAAGGGATTTACTGTGTCTAAAAACACAACATATCGATGCAACGAAAAATTTAAAGAGCAGGAGTGGAAGGGGTCCAGAATCTGTTGCGAGGCTTTAAATATATAATATCCAAATTCCTTTCAAGGTCTATGTGCATTTCTCATTTACACATTATTATTTCAAGTGTGTCCCGTCAATTCCAACAGTTTGGATTTCATCAAGCTACATACTAAATGAAAGAAATTTCTGTAAAATGAGGAACATGATAAGTGGATTGACACATTGCTTCGGTGCAAGACTATCCCAGTCCCACACAATAATAGTTTCTCTTTCAGATGTTACCTCGGATCGGCTTAAAATGAAAATGACTAGTGAAATCAAGGTCGATTTCTCCCCACAACAACTTATCTCTTGCATTGGGGACAAGCAACCTGGATGTACAGGGGGACACTTGGATAGCGCATGGGAGTACATGAGATTACAAGGGTATGTGCAAGAACTTAAATATATATGCAACCCATTTACAATAAAAACAAATAATAATCATGTAAAATATATATGCAACCTATTTACAATCAAAACAAATAACAATCATGCATAAATGCCAAAGGGAAATAAATTGTAACAGATGACAGCAAAAACATCTTACATTCATGCACAGTTGTCCCATCACAAGATTTCTTTAAAATGCCATGAATTGTCATGTCCATGCAAGGATGATGTTTAATTTTAAACAACATAACCAAGCCTTCAGTATGATTTGCATAAGGGGATATAGTATTGTATCCTATGCCAAGAGGAGTTTTAGGGAATTAAGTTGGTAAGATATATCCCGTATCCCGATTTTGAGGTTTCCATATCCAGAACCTCCATATCTCCCGCTTCGGTGCATATCTTCCCGCTTCCGGTGCATATCTTCCGGTAATGCAATAAAATGACTTTGCATATGAATCATCCCTCGTGAGATATGCACATCTCCCTCTGGATAAACCCCATATCCAATACCTCCCAGTACATAACCCTTATATATGGGATTAGGTATAATTTTAATGTTTGATTTAGATACATTCTTCAAATCAAAATGCTTTGACTGAGTACTTAGCCTTTAGCAGATTCGATTAAGGGGAACATATTACATATGTAAAGAAAAAAGGTCTAATCTTTATGTTTGGTTTGGTACATTCTTCAAATCAAGATCGCATTGACTTATTACTTAGCCTCTAGCAGATTCTTATGAGGGGCACATATTATATAGATCTAATCTTTATGTTTGGTTTGGTACATTCTTCAAATCAAGATCGCATTGACGTATTACTTAGCCTCTAGCAGATTCATATAAGGGGAATATATTACATACATATAGGATAAGGTCTTCTCTTTATGTTTGATTCCTACAGCTGGGGAGGAAAACGCGCTAAAAAGAAGGACTCTGTACAGCAGAATAATGTACCGATGGAGGCATTTTTATTCTGCTTTTAATGACACAAGTTTCAGGAAAAACGGGGCAGCATGAGACTCCAAGGTCCATAATTCAACCATTTCTTGATGAAATCAGAGTTCTGTTCTGGAAAATCCAGATTTAAAATTAAGAGAAAATCGAAAGAAAATAAATCGGAAGAAAACTAAATGAACAAAAATCAGGATTTGTTTATAAAAATCAGGGTTTGGAAAAATGTGGTTGAAAATCATGATTCATATTCTTAAAATATGTGAAATTCTAGAAAAACCGGGGTCTCTCGAATTCAACAAGGAAAAAATCAGGCTTTTAAAATGGGAGAAAATGTGGATAACTAAAAATATATTGTGAGAAAAACAGGGTTCACAAAAAAACAATTCACTGAATTGGGGGTTTTTAACTCGGGATGTATTGTTGAAAAATTATGTGTTTTTATGTACATGTAGATTACCTGGAACCATACATTTCTTAATTCACTTCATATTTTGGTTTTGATGTTCACATTTAGTGACAACCTACACTTCAAGAATGATATTTAGGTGATTTATAAATCTAATCAAACATATACATGTTTATATGTATTTAGGTTCATTTAGACAGCCTTTAAAATCCACTATAAGGTTAAAACCTATATATATCTTCTAAAAATTTGGAAAATACATATACTAGTATTTTTTATAAGAGGTTTTACGATTTGGAATTATATTATTTGTCAAGGGAACTGTTCTAAGTAAAAGCCGGTGATTTTAACAGTGTTTGTATTATTTTAGAGTTGCAGATGACGAATGCTACCCTTATACCAGTGGCTTATACAGCTCTAAGAAAACATGCCAAGTAGAAAGATCATCAGCAAGATCTAAGAATGGTGTATGTTCCAAGAAAAACAAAATCTACAAAATGGATAAACCATACAGAATGCCTAACAATGTGAGTTGAATTCAATATTGTATTTTTAGATCTAGTGTTTGATTATATGTGGTCTGATTTAAATCTAATCTAATCTAACCAGCAGACCAGAAGAAGTGAGTAGCTCCCATAATTCTTTCATATCTATCGTATTCGGGGATTCCCCATTACGTCATCTTCAGCATCATCTCCAATGAAATTGCAAGATGCGATCACGTGAACAATCATGAAATCGTGGAAATGGCGTTAACGTTCAATATCATCATTTTAAACCTACGGTAATACTATTGAAGTTATTCCATCCAAACTTGTAGAGAATACTCATAAAACTACAGCGAACATTGGGAGATTCAGCTCAATGGCAAATGTAGTCATATAAATCCGACCGTTGTATGCTGTTCTTCGATATTTCTTGTTCTTATTTGGATTTATTTTTTATCATTTTCTTTGCATACACCGTCTTGTATGCAAGAAAATAAGAAAAAATAAATATCCAAATCAGAAAAATAACAACAAATAACATCATACGAGGGTCAGATTTATATGACTATGGCAAATGAGGCCTGTTTATAAAATTTGTTTTCGAACGTGCCAATATGAAAGGTCATCTTTGGGAAATCTCCCCCCCCCCTGAAGCAGACGATGGGAGGCTCTTCCGGAGTCCAAATCGGAAGTAAAAAGAGTAACCGCACTTTCAGTTTTAATAACTGAATAATGAAGATTGATGGTGCTCACTGTGGGTTATTCATGTACATGTATTATAAGTTATAATCAGTAGACGATGGAGGGGGGGGGTCCAGTCTCAGTTTTTAGTTGTTATTGTCACTTGAAATAGGCATGATTTGCAAGGTGAGACTAAGGTTATCACATTTAAGTTCTAATTTAAGTCAAAACTGTTTTTCTGAAAAAAATCTTTAAAAATGACTGTCCTAGATTTAACCTATCCAAGTTATTCTCTAATTCATTCACTACCATTAGAAAACCTACAATTTCTATCCATTCTATTTTTATTTTTAAGGTTTAGTTGAAGCTAAGTTACATTAAGTCAGCAGAAAATAAATAGATGCTAAATTGTTGTACATGTGTGTACCAATTTATTATGATATAATTTCTCTTTTGACTTTCAATCTATATCTAGTGGTTCATCTATAATATACACTTTAACCAAGATCACCATGGATATAACATTTTGTAAAATCATGCTCTAATGTATTGTACCTGTACTGCACTGTATTGTACTGCACTGAACTGTATTGAACTGTACGAATCTCATTTTGACCATTGATCTCCCATTGATCTTATTTCAGGAAAAGGAAATAATGGAGGAGATCCTCACCAATGGTCCTGTCCAAGCCACCTTTGTTGTGCACGAAGACTTCTTTATGTACAAAAGCGGTATATATAGCCATTCTGTTGCACCAGATGATATCGGGTTAAGTGGCTACCACTCTGCCAGAATAGTGGGGTAAGTTTGTTTAACACTTCTTCTGAATGATTGATGATGTGTCCAATGTAAGTTTAAAAGCAACTTGGACTTTGTCAACCTAAATGACATAAAATGCCATGTACACGGTGTCCAATACTACTCAACGTAAATCGTTCCAGACTTGTTTTTCACAACCATTTGGACTCGATTTATTTAAACACTTTTCACCCACTTTTGCACTTTGAATCCAGAATAACTTCCCCAATTGTGAATATTTTGGGAGATTATGTATTTGAGATTGTATGGAATATAATGGTAGGTCAACTGTACATGTTGCTTGTAATTCTGTCCCTATAGATCTGATTGTGCCTTTAAACACCAATGCAGGTGTTTCCTTATTTGTGCACAATATACTAATTTTGTCATATTCATATTTCCAGATGGGGCTCTGAATGCAGTTCTCAAGAAGAGACAAAATATTGGGTAAGGAAATGATTATTTAGCTAACGAGTGCAACATTAGAATAATGACCCTTGGACTATTACATTGACAAAAATATGGAGTATATGGTAGTAAAGTTGGAAGCTATCGAGTGTCCTATTTTTACACCATTCTTTTCATCATTTGAAAGTGGAAGATGGTGCATATAATTTAAAATTGTGTATGGTTTCTGCAGATTTCAGATCCCTGTGACTAGGATTGACAGTGATGGTGTATGGCCATTATGAAACACATTATGCACTGTATGTACATGAAAATGATGATTTACAACAATTGTTTAACTAATAACAATCAGTCAATTGAAAAAGTATCCAGAAATTGTGGATACAAGATAAACACAAAACATCCTAGATTTTTTTGAAAATGTTGACACTAGACATGTACAATAGTTTGAGAAAATGTAACTCCTTATTTGAAGTAGCAGTCACTGATCAGAAATCAATTTGTCTAAATATACTTATTAATATGACATTGTTAGGGTCCATACATACACTGGCAGATTAAAAGGGGGGGGGGGGCAATGCGGAAAATTTTTGGGCCCAAAATTTTTTCTGCTGACATTTTTACCAGACTTAAAATGTGGGCCCCTTGCTACCTTCTTGATCGACCAGTGCAGCATGTTTGTTTGTGAAAGAATGTCTTAAAATGTAAATTTTCAGATTGTTGCCAACTCCTGGGGAAAACAATGGGGAGAACAGGGATATTTTCGAATCCAGAAGGGCGTGAATGAATGTGAAATTGAGTCATACGTGGTTGGTGTAACAGGTGAGTTTTATTAAGTATGCTCATACTCACACTAGCTTTGTTCAAGAAAGAATTTTCAAGATGGCTGCTTAATTTCAAAATGGCCACCATTTTCCTAGAATAACATAATTTTTGATAAATTAAATGCCAGAAGTTCAAATCTGACTCTAGATTTAAGAGTTTCAGCTCAAGGTCAAAAAAAGGTTAAACAGGTCAAAAAAGTATTTTTTCAAAATCATCAAGATTTAAGATTTGACCTTCTCAAGCTTCTCTTCATAGGTCAGCAGCTGAGCAAAATATTAAAAAACTTTGTGTGCCCTAAGTTTCTCACTGGATTCTTATAGAACAAGGTCTTAGAGTTATTTTGAAAATTAAAAATTTTAGATTTTATGATTGGTTCAGTATTAACATCATCATATTAAAATATAGGAATCTGATGTAAGAGGAATTATTGTCCTTCAGTGAATATTGTCCTAGTTTGCATTGATATCTGCCAGGAGAAAACTGCATGACTTGTTAAGTATGAAGGTTACCAAATGAATGTATGGGAATCTAATGTAAGATGAATTATCGTCCCCCGGGAAATATTGTCCTATTTTGCATTGATATCTATCAGGACAAGACTTTGCATGACTGGTAAAGTATGAAGGTTACCAAATGAATGTGTGAGAATCTAATATAAGAGAAAGTATTGCTATTCAAGGAATTTTGTCCAAGTTTGCATTGATTTCTGGCAGAACAAGACTTTGTATGACTGGTAAAGTATGAAGATCACTGTATAAAAGTATGGGAATCTAATGTAAGATGAATTATTGTCCCCGGGAAATATTGTCCTAGTTTGATATCTGCCAGGACTAGACTTTGTATGACTGCTTTAGTTTGAAAATTAACATATTAATGTATGGGAATCTAATGTAAAATGAATTATTGTCCCCGGGAAATATTGTCCTAGTTTGCATTGATATCTGCCAGGACTAGACTTTGTATGACTGCTTTAGTTTGAAGGTCAAAATATTAATGGGAATCTAGTGAAGAGGAACTATTGTCCCTCAGGGAATATTGTCCTAGTTTGGATTGGTATCCATCAGGAGAAGACTTTGTATGACTTGTTAAGTTTAAAGATCACCATATGAAAGTTTGAGAAATTAATGTAAGAGGAATTTTTGTCCTCTAGGAAATACTGTCCTAGTTGGCATGTATATCTCCCAGGAAAAGACTGTGTATAACTTGTTTAGTATGGGAATCTTATGTAGGAGTTATTTTTGTCCTTCGGAAAATATTGTCCTAGTTTGCTATAATATCTGCCAGGACAAGTAATGTAAGAGGAATTATTGTCCTCCTGTTAATATTGTCCTCGTTTGCATTGACATCTGCCAGGAAGAGTTTGTATGACTTGTTATGTATGTAGGTCACTATATAATAGTATGGAAATCTACTATAAGAGAAAGTATTGTCCTCCAGGAAATATTGTCTTGGTTTGCTACAATATCTGCCAGGACAAGTAATGTAAGAGGAATTATTGTCCTCCTGTAAATATCGTTTGCACTGATATCTGCCAGGAAAAGAATTTGTATGACTTATTAAGTATGAAGGTCACTATATAAAAATATAAAAATCCAATATTAGAGAAAGCATTGTCCTCTAGGAAGTATTTTCCTTGTTTGATTAATAATACGTATCTGTAATACTATATGAACATTTTATTTTAACATTGTGCCATATAAAATAAATAACTACAAATCAAAGTTGTTTTGGTAGAAAATCAGAATTCAAATATGCGATCAAATAGAAGAAATTATAATAAAAAAAAAACATTTGACCTACTTTTGATAAAGCGAAAGCAGTTTATTGATCATAGTCCCTGGTTCAAAAGCTCGCCTATTTTCAAAATGGCCACAATTTCTGTCTCGCAAAATTCACTTTTGGACCATTTGCTTTAAATCCTCCGTCAATAGGATTCCTGTTTTAAGTTATTTTTGTTCAACATCAATGTAGAAAACTCCCCTACGACTCCTCGTTCAAAAGCTTGCCTTTTTTCAAAATGGTCGCCATTTTTGTCTCGCCATATTCACTTTCGGCCATTTCTTAGCTTTACAATAATTTCAGGTGACCTGCATTGTAAAAAGTCATGTCACTGTAAAGAGTAATTGTATGAAATAATTTTGTTACAAAAATCTGCAAAAATTACATCCATTTTTTTATTTTCTGCCATTTTAGCCATCATTCACTGTTGAGCAACACCATGTGAGCCCAGTACCCATGGTACTATTTTTTATTCATAATGGTCCCAAATAAATGATGATTTAAAAAAAACATTTGACAAGTGTTAATAAGGTCTCTTTGGTTACAAGCAAATTTCACTCAGTTAATCCTAAACAATGACTTTTTCTGACCATAATCTCAAAGAAAAGCATATGTTAAGTTGATTTTCTCAAAGTTTAGGATCTTGCAGATGCAAAATCCTTAAAATCTGAACACCTCCTAATCCGAATGCTTTTAGCCAGTCCCAATGGCATTTAGATTAGACAGCTTCAATATTACTGTACTTTTTGATTCCGCTGGCCTATTTTCACCAAAAAAGCAATCTTAAGACAATTTTAATGCATGACTGTTCCCTGTTTTAATATATTAATAGGATTCTGAAAGAAAAACTGAATTGCTCAAATATAAGTGTCCAAATGTTTTCAATGCTATCCATTGAATTCAGCTCATTTTGGTCATCCAGATTCAGTACAGTCCCTGGAAAAATCCAATTTTCCATTTAGAAAATAAAACATGTCTCAAAAATTCTTATCCTCTTCAAAATCCCTTCTAGTGAAAAAACGCTCAATGCAAAATCACAAGCATACTTGTCTTAAAATATTTTTTTCATTTTTCTATCAATCCACAGTTTTAGCAGCTAATGTATTTTGAATTTCGAATGCACTTTTGATTAATAGCTCATGAGTCATAAAATGAACAAGCTTCATATCAAGACAATTTGGAATTGAATTAAAATAAATTAGGCACACATTCAAGCATGATTTGAAGGCATGTTCAGTTACAGGCCCATGGGCCATATGATGAACTGCCTTTATATCAAGGAAATTTGGAATAATGATATTTGCACACAGTTAAACATGAAGTAAATCCAGACCAGCATAGGTATAGCAATTTTTTCAAAGCTGTTTTCTTTCCACCAGTACATTGATATATTTTATTTAAGTTTTTTAGTTCATAATCTTTCTATTTTGTTACTGTTCATTTATCTTAAATTTAAAAAATTCATATTTTGCCCCGCAGAATATTGCATATTCCATTCATTTATGCAGCCCTACATCCTTCCTTCAATAACTCCAACAACAAGAAACTCTTCCCCCTCCCTCTTCCATATAATAAAGTTCATAAAACTGGAGTATGATCAGTAAACAGTTAACATGGCCCTTTCAAAAAATCATAAGACATTTCCTCTTGATTCTATGCTATTTATGCTAAAACAATAAAATGAAAATAGTAGAAAAAGCTCTAAATCCAGATTTAATATTTACTGTTAACAAATGTTTCTTTTTACACTCTTTTTATACAGAAATACTCATCATCAAATATTTCAAATAACAATTTTTGGTGGAAGGTCATTTAAAACAAAATGTTGTTCTAGATTGGTTGGAACCCCTTTGGATCATTCCAAATAAAAGCCAGGGGATCTAAGCTAATAAATCAATACATGTTCAATAGAACAAAAAGTAAACAAAACATCAATATCACCCCTGTCCTTTAAAATGTTGACCTAATTATCAATTCAAAGTCGTCTGCATATTTGAAAAAGCAACACATATTCATAAAAGAGCTTCTAAATGTATGACATATTTATCTTCATTTGAACTAAACTGATTGTAATTATAATTGGATGTTTTTATTTTGATCTTATAAACATCATAAATCATAATTGAAAAATGAAAAATTCTATTTCAAGTGTTCTATTTTATTTGTCTAATTTGTTTTTGTGTAATTTCAGTCAGACCAAGTGTTGTCAAGAGCCAACTCCAATCTGGTCCTATATTAGATCTAACAGTGACCAGCCTGGGGAATATAGTTGCAAAAGGTCGGTCTACAACAAAGATCTACGACAGCAGTACATTCCAGATGGTCAAAGAAATAAACAAGGTCTTCGATCGTGTTACAAAAACCACAGATGGCCAGCTGGCATTTACAACCCTCCCCTTCAGCAACAAGATCCACATATATAGTGAGGATGGGTCGCCCATTCGTACCATCACCTGTGCAGCACCTGTAAGTGGGATACTTGCTATAGCCTCACTGCCAGCAGGTTGGTTCATAGTGACTGATTGGATCAAAGGAGTATATATGGTGGATTCAGCAAATGGGAACTCCACACTGATCTCTCCATCTGGTATGTTCAGAGGCCCTTTTAATGTGGCAGTTGGCATAAACAGTGAGATCATAGTAAGTGACTGGGATGCTCATTTCATCAAAGTGATCAACAGAGACGGCCATGAAATCCTCCATTATGGAGAGAAAGGCTCAGGAGAGGGACAACTGAATAAGCCCTATGGTGTCTGCACAGATAGCAATGGATTTATTATTGTAGCAGACGCTTCCAACAACAGGGTACAACTCCTCACACCCAATGCAACATATCAGACAGATAAACGCTTTTAAGAGGATCTCTAAACACCTGGATTTAAATACCCGTATGGTAATCTTCAAGGCATTTATCCTGTCCTGCTTCAATTATTGCCCAACCATATGGCATCACTGTGGTAAACTTAACTCAGTCAAAATGGAATTGTTACAGAAGCGATGTCTCAGATTTGTTCATAATGATTACAAGTCTAGCTATGAAGAACTACTTGTAAAATCTGAGGTACCTACTCTGACACTCAGTAGAATGCGACAAATCGCAATTGAAACCTACAAAATCATTAAAGGCACGTGCCCATCTTATTTGTCAGATTTATTTCAAACTAACACTCACAGATACTCCTTAAGATCAACCAACACAATCAATGTCCCTCCATACCGTAGTTCTCGCTATGGTAGACACTCTCTCAGAGTGGATGCTGCTTTCATTTGGAACAGCCTCCCCAATAAATGCAGATTGGCAATTTCCTTGGGAGAGTTCAAACGTTTAATCTCCCAATGGGAGGGTCAGGATTGTAAATGTGCAATGTGCAAATAATAACTTATCACCTCAATTTTATAAACTAGTCAATAGATGTCTCAGTCATATAGCCAGTCTATACTATGTATCAATTTTATTCTATTCATGTCTTATAGATGTCTCTGTTAAATTATTGTATGCATGTATTTTATTTGTTACACTTTTTACCATAGATTTTATTATACACTAGTCGGAGAATAGCGCTTGCGCTAATGTTTTTTGTACACTATAACCGACGTAAAATAAATATTATCTTATCTTATCTTATCATAGTCTGCTCCTGACATCTGCAGATGGTGTGCGCAGCCCAAATGCTGTACACGTGAATGAGGCGGGTGAATTGCTAGTGGGGGATGACAAAGGCCAGCTGTTCATTGTCAACTACTGAGACTAAGGTAAATATGAAACAATAAAACATCAACAGCAACTAAAACACATCTGATACTAGAATGAAATGATTTGAGATATTCATTGGATAAAATAGATTTCAAATTGCTAAATCTAATCAATCTGAAATTAGTAGAAGGTAAACAATGAATGTAAACAATATGAATGTTTTTTTCTGACAAGTATTTGTTGAACTGTGGAACAAATCTCATATTTTTATCTTCATTTGTGTCGTTTTATGAATTGAAAAGTGGACTTGTTCAAAATTTGTTCAAAATAAATATGAAACAATTGAATTTTGATTATGATTTTTAATGTTATCTTTCAGTCTAGCTCCCTGAAAATGAGCAGAATAATCAACAACAACAACATCAGCAAGGACATTAACAACAATTACATCAACAATAAAAAACAAGACAACAAATCCAACAACATTGACAAATTGAATAATTACAACAACAATAAACAAGACAACAACAATTACAACAACACTCATAATTAATACAGATCATGTCAAGTGACAATCCAGCAGAAAGAACATCATTTAGCATTAACACAATTTAAAGGATGTATATAATATAGGATTAAATCATTTTGTATGGATATATGGATAAGCATGTGAGTATTATATTCGAATATGTATAATTGTGAATCAGAATGTGATTTTAATTTATCTTAAAATTATGAATATTTATTTTCAAGTCATATTTTTACATAATTACAATGTATGAACTAAAGGAGAGGGAGGGTGGTCTTTGGAAGCTAGATACACAAACTTCTTTCAATTTGAAATATATTTTAAAAAGGGATATTTCCACTCATCCAGATATTGATATCAACTCATTGATAAAAATGATATCCCTCAAAATCATAGGATATCCTATATACAACATGTGCTTCTACATATTATAAAATGTGATTTAATGGAATCCAAAATAGCTTGTTTTTGGCAAAACTACTATGCTATGTTATCAATCTGAGTTAGCAACTGATGCTTAATTTAATGATAACATGTACAGGGTGGTCAAAAGAAGTGGAAACCCTTACACCATTTTCCTCATATACTGTAAAACGGGTAATTTTGACACCGGGAAATTTTAGCGATTTTTCAATTTTAGGGAGTTTTAGCGCGGGAAATTTTAGCGAAATGAAGATTAATCTTTAAATAATCAAATTAGCGAAATGCATTAGAGATTTTATCATTTATGGCAGAAGAATGAATAACGGACATGACAGAGGAATTATCAAAATGTAAAACTTCTAACGCACATGGTATTGGTCCAAACTACTGTAATCTCATGATGGATGGCTATTTATCCTTCAGATATTGAAAGAAACATACGATTTAAAAATATTTACCTTTTTAAATTACAAACCGGAAGTCGAGGTCTGAACGAAAAGCTCCTTAAATACTAGTATTCATGTAGTTTCCCGGGAATTCGCAAATTTTGGAGCCCGATTTATTTTAACCCCGGTTTATTTTAGCGAATTGAATTTTTAGCGAAACTATAGCGATCGCTAACAATCGCTAACAATTACCCCTCGCTAACAATACCCGTTTTACAGTATTTGTCATTTTAAGAAATAATTCCCTGATATTTTGCACATGTGTACATAATTCAATTTCCTACCAACTTACTTTATTTTATGACCATCAGATTGATAGTAACAATGTTGAAGCACTTTAAAGAATGTTCCCCAGTGGCCACTTTTGCGCTGTCAGGAAACCTGTACTCTTCGTCTAAAATGTTCCTACCTGTGCGGATATGGCAGAGATAGAGTATATGAGAATGACCTTGGGACAATTGCAAACCTCAAAAGAGAGATCATCAGTGTCATTCAGGCCATACCTGCTATGGAATGCATTCAGGTCATTGACAACTGTGCTGTTTGCATTACCTGCAGGAAAAGCAATTCTAGATATGATAAAATAATTTTGACTTTGAGAAAGGGAAGATGCAAAAAAACCACCCACATGTTTTTTTCTGAAATGCTTTCCTGATTTTCAACCCCTTCCACCCCTGCTTTTTTAATTTTTCTTGCATCAATATGTTGTGTTTTGACACACAGTTAACCCCTTTAAAGGAATATGATTCCTTATAGATGAAGTAGAAAACAATATTTCCCATGTTATTTTCCCATAGGGAAAACCCATGCGATCCATTGCTTTCAGCTAATTTTGGTCACCCATAATGGATATCTTTAGAACCCCTGACAGAAATACTTATTCCTTTAAAGGTATTAACTGTGTATCAAATGCAACATATTGATGCAATAAAAACTGAAAAAGCAGGGGTGGAAGGGGTTGAAAATCAGAACAACATTTCAGAAAAAACATGTGGGTGGGTTGTTTGCATCTTCCCTGTCTCAAAGTCGAAATTATTTTATCATCTCTATGAGTGCATTTCCTGGAGGCAATGCATTGATCTAACATATACATCTATTTAAATCCTCAGAAAATTAAAAATATGTTCTGTATAGTGGTATCAAGGTTAGGGAAGATCTCAAAAGTTCAATGTTGGATTATTAACAGAGACGTAATTGAGCAGTTAATCTTTGACCCCTCCCCTCATAACTGTATTTGAGAAATGGTGACTATGTTGGTCACACTTGATATTATAATTACAAATATTCAATTTAGATGAGTTCACTTTAAAGGTTATTAACCCTCCCCCTATCTGTTTAAATACATTTAATTTTTTGACATTGATCTTTTGAAATGCTCCCTTACTCTCAAAGTATTGAGGGAGGTAGAAATTACTTTTAAGTGAATATAATGTTAAATGGGCATGGACCTAGAGTGCTGGGGCCTCATCACTTGCTCGTCGCAGCGCAGAATCAGGATTTGTATCATCCGCTCTGCGCAACGCAACGCAATCGCAAATTGAAAGATGTTTCAATCGCAACTGCCAAAAAGTTGCATTGCTCTTACCCTGCCGCAATTCAATCGCAAATATTACGCATCTTTGAGGCAATTATTATCTATGCATCAATCTAGGAGTTTCTTTACTGATTCCGTAAGTATGTTCATTTCTAAAGGTGACTGTGTAATAAAAAGTGAGTTTATGGTTTTCAAAAGTGCTTAAATCAAAGGAGCTGTTAATGGTATGAGGGAAGTTTAGAACATTCGAATTTTATAATTAAATCCAAATTCTGATCGCAAATTCAAGAAAGTGAAACGCTATGTTCATTCCGGCATCGCTAAAAATGGACATAGCTTTGAGGTTATTTGCAACAGGCAACTTACAAATGACAAATAGGGACTTATTTGGAATAACCCAAGCATTTGTCTCTAGGTGATAAGATCCAACGCAGGAGTTGCGCCAGCGCAAATCGTTGATTCGCAATTGCAATGCAGACGCAGATCTTGCGACAAGCACATGATAAGGCCTCTGAATATCAAATATTGTATTATTTGCTGAAGTGATATTTTCAGGATGAAATGTTCCTAATTGATGTTAAATGTGATGTAAAGATGTTGTGTCAAGAATCATGTTTCAAATTCAAACAGTATTTGATAAAGTCAACTATTTTCAATCTTGAGGTATGATATTTGGTACTTGTACTCATTATTATATCCCAGATGCAAAATCAAGACAGCTTGGTTAAAAATTATAAAAATCGTGATTACAATCTACATGTATATGAGAACTATGGAGACTGTATGTACCCTGT